TAAATCCACACATATATGGACACTTGATCTTTGTCAAAAAAAAAAAAAAAGCCAAAACCATACAATGGAAAAATGATAGTATTTTGAAAAAAAAAAAAATGGTGCTAATCTAACTGGATGCCTACATGTAAAAAAATGCAAGTCGATCCACATTTATCACCCTACCCAAAACTCAAGTCCAAGTGGATCAAGGACCTTAATATAAAACCAGATACACTAAATCTATTAGAAGGGAAAGTGGAGAAAAGCCTTGAACTCATTGGCAACAGGAGACCATTTCCTGAACAGAATTCCAATACCACACGTTCTAAGATCAACAATCAATAAATGGGACCTCATAAAACTGAAAAGCTTCTGTAAGGCAAAGGACACTGTCAACAGACAAAAGGACAGCCTACAGATTAGGAAAAGATCTTCACCAACCCTACCCCTACATCTGACAAAGGACTAATAGCCAAAATATATAAAGAACTCCAATTAAACAAACCAAATAATCAAATTAAAAATTGGGGTACAGAGCTAAAGAGAGAATTCTCAACAGAGGAATTTGAATATCAGAGAAGCACTTAAAGAAATGCTCAATATCATTAGTCATCAGAGAAATGCAAATCAACACAACTCTGAGATTCTATCTTACACCCTTCAGAATGGCTAAAATAAAAAACTCATGTGACAGCACATGCTGGCAAAGATGTGGAAAAGGGGAACACTCCTCCATTGTTGGTAAAAGCACAAACTTATACAACCGCTTTGGAAATCAATCTGGAGGTTTCTCAGAAAATTGGGAATAGCTCTATCTCAAGACCCACCTATACCACTCCTGGGCATATACCCAAAAGTTGCTCTATCACACAACAAGGACATTTGCTCAACTATGTTCACAGCAGCTTTATTTGTAGTAGCCAGAAATTGGAAACAATTCAGATGTCCCTCAACTGAAGAATGGATAAAGAAATTGTGGTGCATTCACACAGTGGAATACTACTTAGCAATTAAAAACAAAGAAATAATTTGCAGGCATATGGTAGAAACTAGAAAATATTATCCTACGTGAAGAAACCCAGATTTAGAAAGGCATACATGGTATGTACTCACTTATAAGTGGATATTAGCCATATAGTGTAGGATAGCCATAGTACAATTCGCAGACTCCAAGAAGGTAAGTAACAAAGAGGGATCAAGGGAGGATGCTCAAATCTCACTGAGAAGGGGAAATAGAAAAGACAGAGGATGTAGCACTCATTCTTAAAACGGTACTTTATTTGGGGTGTTGAGGCCTCAACCTCCCTTCCATCTTCCCAACCCTATGTAGGACAGAGAAGGTTAGTGAGAAGAGAGGGCCCCTTTACTTCTCCTGGCTGTTGAGGGTCAATGGTTCTTTTAGGGCTATGTACCAGACTCCATCAACCGCAGACGCAGCCAGCAGTCTCCTCTACGCCACCGCTGCACCCCAAAGTGTTTCTCTGTCTGTCTGCTCTAAATCACCACACCATCAGTCTCCGGTCTCTCCAAACTGCTACACGTCACACACCAACACCAAATGCCACACTTTTTCTTTCTGGGGTTTTCAATTTACACCCTCAGAGTCCTAGTCCCCCACCCCTCTATGTGCTGCATGAGGCAGGCAGTTTACCAGCTGGCAAAAGCCACACCCCTAATGAGACAATTAATAGCTGTGGACAAGCTATAGCCCAACTGAAGTCCCACAGTTGGGTTTATAAAACATGTATTTACATAACATAACATAACATAACATAACATAACATAACATAACATAACATAACATAACATAACATAACATAACATAACATAACATAACTGAATTTACAAAGAAACCAAAACTTCTGTTAGAAGAGGAAGTGCTGGAAGACAGGGAATAGGATAGGAGTGAGTGTGCTGAGGGAAATGAAGTTGGGGATGTAATGTGGGAAGATCTGGGAGTGGGGGGACATAGGGCCTGCAGAGAGAAGAGAAACCTTGGCCTGGGGCATCTCTGAGACAGGCTGGAGACCTACAACAGGCTAGGCTTCTGGGAGGATATGGGGGTGACTCTACTAACAGGGACGTGGAAATTGAAGAGGTCACCCTCTAACCAGACTGGACTCCAACGAGAGGGAGGGGAATACCAACCCATCTACAAAAACTTTAATCAAATTTTACCCTGCCTACAAGATGTGCAGGGATAAAGATAGAGCAGAGACCATGCCTGGCCACACCATGGGAGAGAGCCAGCCTCTAACACTATTAATGACACTCTGCTATGCGTGCAGACAAGGGCCTAGCATAGCTGTTCTTTGAGTGGCTCCACCCAGCATCGGATTGAAACAGATGCTGAGACTCACAGCCAAACACTGGGTGGAGTGCAAGGAGCCTTGTGGAAGAATGAGAGGAAGGATAAAAGGACCCAGAGGAGGGAACAGGATCTCCACAAGATCAACAGAGCCAACTAACCTAGGGCCAGGGGGGCTTGTGAAGACTGAAACACCAATCAAGGACCATGTATGGACTGTGCCTAGGCCCCCTACCCATATGTACAAAATGAATAGCTTGGTCTTCATGTGGGTACCCTAGCAAGGAGCTTTTTCTGATGAGAAGGGGAGAGGGATATGAGGAAGGGTGAAAGAAGGTAGGACTGGGAAGAGAGGAGGGAGAGTGCTATGACAGGGATGGAAAGAGAATTAATTAATTAAGAAAAAAAAAAGGCTGGAAGCCCCATGGCTTTACTCCAGAACATTCTCTATATTGGGTGACAAGGTTTGGTGGAGCTTATTCGGCAGTCCTGTTTTTGCTTGTGTATAGAGAAGCCCTCCTTTAAAGGGTGAAGAAGGTAAGCTAGAATAAAAAAAGACACCTCAGGCAACATTATATATAATTTATATAGACATAAATACAATGTGTATCTATATCTACATAATTATACACTATAATGCCTCTGAAATGATTGACATGTTTAGCCAAATGGCAGAAAGAGTCTTCACATACTCTTCCAAGCAAGACTATTTTAGTATCAGTAGAGTCATTAACTCAATCAGTACCAATGCTGTCCTGAACTGGCGAGGAGATTTTCCTGGCTTCTGGGCTTATTCCTCCCTCTAGATGCTTAATAAAGCTAGGTGCTCCAAAAATGAGTGAAAGATTAAGTGGGTCCACTTGTGCTTCCTCACTTCCTGCCTGGCCTTATGACCCTTGTGTACCTGTGGTTTTCAAGGGAAGTAAAGAGTTCAGTCACTTTAATGACCAAGATTTTACAATCATTTCTCACCATCCTCGTGTGAGGTGGGAACTTGTCTATCTTCTGGATTCTCTACTAATCTCAGGTCTGTAACAGAACGATCCCCATCCCTAAACTATCAATATAAATTGCTTTTCTTTGTCAGAAACAGTTGCTCATGACCATGAGGTCGTTTGCACTTGTTAATACTCATCTTTGGAGTGTGCTCTTTGCTCTTATCACTGATAAAAACCAGAGGAAACCTTGCAGCTCTATAATTCAACCTTATATCTAGAAAAGGAAACTGTAGAAAGACTCCTCTTCTACCTTCCACCAAGCACACCTTTAAAAATAAACTTTCATTTGTCTCTTAAATTATTATAATGCACTTACTTGTGTTAACAAAAAATCCTCAGTAATTAGTAAGTATGCTTATTAAGTCATTAATCAAAGCATTCATACATTATTATATACATTGAGTGACTGTTATGCCAGGAAATATGCTGGACTCTGGGGAAATCTGAAGATGAATGAACCATAGTCCCTCCCCACAGCTCTTCAGAACCTAATAGGCTGGTTCTGCTGAAGAGCAGATCTGTGAACAATAACTCAGTAAGATCGCATTAGTGTGGGTACCAAACACAGTGGTAAGGCAGAGAAGCACGTAGGTAATGATCCCACCCAGGAGGAAGGCGAATTGGCCTGGAAGACATCACTGAAGAAGCTTTGCATACAGCAAAGCTAGGAAGGAGCCTGAAGCATTCAGCCCCACGGGTTGGAATGGAAAGTGCACAAGAGGGCCAGGAATCTGAAGCTTACTGTTCATTGATAATTCTTCTGTATCACATGACTTCAGGGTACTGAGGGATTTGTGCTCAGGAAATACAGGAGGGTATTTCCATATACCTCCTGTAGTTTGGTAGCTTGATCTACTCCTTTCAGAAAGCGATGTGTTAAAATGAACCAATGATCAGACAATGAACATATTTCTGATCAACTATTCATACGTGACCAAGTGTATCTTGATGAAACAATACAGTATGAGGACACAGGAAAGTGTATGCTGTAAGAGAGAATTAGAATAGGGGCTGGACTGTAAGATGTGCCTCTATGACCTATGGCTCTTGGCTCTTGGTCTGTGGAATCCTATGCTATTAAATTGTTAACTCCAAGTGATAGAAAGAGACTAGCAAATATCCATGCCAATAGAAAATAGGGGTTATTTTGGCATGGCCAACAGTTGGAGGCAGCCATTCTAAGCTAGAAGGCACATAATGGGGAACTCCTGGCTTCTAAGCCATATGTGTGAAATAATCAGCCTTTATCAGCTTGCACTGACCCATGCTTCTGCCCTCCCCAATTAAGTGAAAACAACCAGCTGCTTCACTGCTAGGATCTTCCTCTCACCCCATTAAACACCCTCAACCTTTGTGGGAAAGCTGCCATTATGAACAGCCCCCCCCCATCAGTGTGGGTCTTTCCTGTGCTCTCCTTTTAAAGGATATAAATCCCTAGTCTAAGTGTCACAGGACTGCCTTAATCTTCCTGCATGGAAACTGTGATCTTAAACCGCGGGTTTCACTGTTTCCCCTTTAGCTTGGTAGAGGATGGAAACTGCAGGAAGAAGCTGGAGAGGATGAGCAGAGGAGACCCAAGGAGAAAAGGACAGGGTCCTGGGCTTGTAAAATCTTGAAGGAGTGGTGAGTATAGAAAGCTGCCCAGTCATTGCCTGGCCCCTCCCCACAGCCTCTCTGAACCTGCTACCAGGGGAAGGAAGATGCGCTCTTACTCATTTCCATGTACTCAGGAGTCAGCCCAGTGTATGGCTCTAGGCTGTAGTCCAGGTCCCACTGCTCTGGGCGTTTTGAGTGCTCGAGGTCACTTTCTCCAGGTTCTGTCTCATCTTTCAGCTTCCGAAAGAGTTTCTTTAGCTTCCTACAAAACAAATGGAGCAGTCACTAACCATCTCTGGGGAAAAAGAATTATCTCAGCAGAAGAAAAGGATGAAGAGACTAAGTCCAGGCATGAAGGTCATTCCTGGAGCAATCAAGGACGTCTTTTATTAAGGTAATGAAGAACCCCCCCCCCCCCAGCATGATACTAGAGGAGAATGGCTATCACCAATACCACCCAGCTACAAACCCTGCAGCCTACAACAGTCACAACAGCCTACAACAGTCTTGCCTGCAAGACATACTGGGGCCACAGTAAGTGCTGCCAGTCTAAATCTTGTGCCCGTCTTGTGCAGGTAATCAAAGCTGCTCTGAGTTCAGGCATGAAGCAGCCATGTCATGCATGCAAGTCAAAATCTTGGGTGTTACCATAGGCTAGGGCCAGAGATGGGTCACTGTGTGTTAAAAGGAACAGTGACCCCTAATGACTGTACCCAGGTGGCCCAGGTAGTCCACTGTCCACCTCCTAATACCAGCACAAGGATGACTTCCTTCTGAACTGGAGAGACTGCAGATCTATGAGAACTCCAGAAGAGCTGGGCACAGGGACCTGTGAGGCCATTGTACAGACAGCTGGGTCGTGCCTGCAGTCAAAAGCTGCTCTGTGCCCTAGGTGGAGAAAGACCGGAGGATGTCATGGAAAGAGGAACAGATGGTCTGGCAACGCCTGGGACCGTGGGCAGGCAGAAGGTTAGCAAACAGGGCTTCAGAACTCAAAGGATGGGGCTAGGCTGGGGACAGGGACCTTAAAGGCACAAGGAAAGAGCAGACACAGGAGCAGAAAGCAGCTATGAGCCTGTGCAGCAGAGGAGGCAAAGCAAGAAGCGGGAGGGCCTTCAGAGGCCTTGTAAGTGTAGATTGGCTCAGAAAAAGGTGAGGGTTGGGTGCTGTGTCAATCTACACATAGCTCTCAAGAGCTGGTCCTTTCCAGAAGTTTCCTCTGGCTATCAGTGGCCAGTAACCAAATGAATAAAGAAAGTCTCTCCAGACCAGGGTTTAAAAGGAATGCTGCAAGTTGTATAACATACAGATGGGACTTTGGAAAACATCAAACTGTGATTCTGACCTTACAATGTATTCTCTCGTTAAAAAAATTCCTTTGATGTTACCCCCGCCCTATCCTTTGCATCTGCTATTTTTTGTTTCATGTCCTTCTTTAATGGCAAGTCTCAGGAACTCTCTGGAAGCCTCTGAATTTTTCCACTGCCAATGCTCTGTGACTCCACGGACTTGCACCCGAATTATGGGATCTGTGGGGCCTCCTGCTTAGGGACCTGGGCTGCAGGCAGTTCCACAGATGGCTCTTGGGTGTTGGCCTCACTGAGAAAGTAGGCAGAGCCTATTTGGCCCTACAGGGGCCAAAGATGACAACACAGTCTTTCCCGATTGCTTATGAAGTTCAAGTTTTTTCTTCAGGCTTAGGTTTCTAAACCAGGCCTAGCAAGGGAGGTTGGGATGGAGGTTACCTGGTAAAGAGGTTACCTAGACAGAGTGTTAGACTTCCTTTATGGCCTCCATGGTACCTGTTTTGTGTACAGGTAGACTTTATAGGATGGCTTTAGAAAGTTTCCAAACTTGGCCTTTGGTAGAGCCCAAGATGGATGAAACACTTACTTCCTTTCCCACTTTCATTCAGTCTCTGATTATTTAGTGTCAAGGAGAAAAGCCCACGCTACCTCTAGGTTACTAAGGATGATTCCCCAGTGCTTACAGTACATTCCTTCTTCACAAAGAAAATTCAGATCTTGGACTGAAACGCTTGAGTAAGAAATAATGCTAATGATTGTCTAATCATGGTTCACTTGTTTGCTGTATTGTTTCATACCGTTGTTAGCTATCCATAGTAATTCACTTCTGGGTGTTCATCTTCCATCTTTGGGAATATTAAAGATTGAAATTAAGTGTGTAGACTTACAAATAATTAATATGGAAATAATTGCCTGAGTAAAGGGGAAGAAATTTCAAAGTTTATAACAAGTAAGAAAGATTGGAGTGTTCTATTGCTTTCTGCAATTGCATGCACACATAGTCTAATGAGAATGTTAAAACTTTGTTGAGAAGGGTTATTATAGTCACCTAACTTACTCACTAAAAAAGATCAATCTTTGATATTTTTCAATGTAAAAATGTTAGAAAATTGCTATTAGAAGCAGATGCTGAGCTAAGGAGACAGTCACTCACTATTATATTATTAAGTATTCTTATTTAGTACAATCACCCACCTAATTCCCCAACTTGCTTCTGTTTTTCAAAGCTAAATCTGGCCTGTTAGATTCTTACTTAATTACAATGGGGAAAAGTTAGACATCGGCTCTGGAGTAAGGATCAGACAAACTGTCAACCAAAACCCCGCAGGCATAGAACAGAAAAGAAAGGCAGCATTTCTGACCTGGGTCCTGTCGGTCACATTCATGAACTTGCTCAAAAACCATGGAAGCCCATGACACAGAGTAATAACTTGGCTACCTAGAACCCCATAAAAATGATTCTTCCTTTCTCTGATGTCCATATTTTCCACATAGCTGAGCATTTTTCCCAAGCTCTTTTCATTACACAACATATTGGAGGCAAACCTTTGTACAATAACTTTCTGAAGGTCACACGGTGAGTGTAACACAGTCTGGAGATGAACACAGATCTGTTGGCCATTATATTTCTGCTCCACAAAGGGCCTGAATACCACTGGGTATAATTTTTAGTTCACATGACTCCTCCCTCACTGGTAGACTCCACTGTCATTTTTCTATTGACTAGGAAAGATTCCTTTTAAAAACTGCTTATTTCATGTTCTCAAAGCTATACCCTACGTCAGGACATTGCCAGGTATTTGGGTTCTTATTTAAGTCTTACCAGGTATAATCTTGAGTGGTGAGTGAAAGATTCATTAATAATAAACATAGTAATCTCATCTGACCAAACTTAAAACACAACCCATAGGATGATCAAGAACTTTGGGCATGGTGGCAGAATCTCTGACACATGCTTGGGGTTGCCTATGTCATCCTGCCATGCGGTCATGAGTACCCTCTAGCAGAGCGAAAAGTAAGGTGAGAGGGCTGGGATACAGTTCATCGGGCATGTACCCAGTACATATGAAACCCCGAGTTCAGTCCCCAGTACCTCTAGCTGAAATAAGGAAGCCTGCTTTGAATCAGAGCAACTTCGATGTGGAATATGCAGAAACCAGTTCACTCAGGAGAGAGGTTCGTGAAGTCCTAGGCTTGCAAAGAACCTACCTCACAGATGATTATAATGACACCACATTCATCAACAGATGCAGACAGTGAGACTTAGAGAAGTGACTTGCACGCAACTTCGTGAATCATCACGATCACGCAGTTGCCATTGATTAAAGTGGGGCATACTTTCAAACACATATGCAATAAGCATAAACAAGAAAATTAATTTTCAGGACAAGCCAGCATGTGTTTTATTTTATTATTTTTCATTTGTCAGTAAGCTGATGGACAGAGAACATGCCAACACACTGTCACACATATGCCTGGGCTGTTGACTCTTAAATTCTTAAAGGCTTCTGAATCCAGAAATGATGTGCTAAGTGGTAGATAAGGTGTCCAGGAATGGAAAGGTTGGCAGTCATGCCTATAAGCTGTCTACAGTTCCATCCTGAAGAGAACTTAGATGCCCTAAGACAGGTGTCTTTTCCAGATGTTTGACGGACATGAAGACTTTCCTTAGCAACTGTGCTGGAGAACTTGATTGCATAGCTTCAAAGGGACCAGATGTGGGTTCAGCATCGTCTGTGTGTACTCTAGCTGTGGGTCTACAAAAGAAAGCTCTTTCTAAGACGTTGTGTGCCTACAAAATAAAATACATCTGTTTCTCTAGCTTTAGTTGACTATCTCTGGATGACTGTTAGAAAATGGGGATAAAATCAAACTTCAAGACCCGAATTTCTCAGTGTTGCCAGTCTTACTGATGACTAGAAGCTTATTTAAGCAGAGAGGTGGACGGGGACACTCTAACACTGATGTTCCTACCAATCCTCCTCTAAGGAAAATACACACACACACACACACACACACACACACACACAAAAGTGCCTCATAAATTTGTCCCAGAATTTGAGCAGAAAGATGCTCTTGAGTGTTCTATCTAATGAATAGAGGGTGACAGTTATTTTGGTTAGGGTTTCTATTGTAACACTATGACCAAAAAGCAGCTCAGTTTACACTTCCACAGCACTGTTCATCATTAAGGGAGTCAGCACAGGAACTCAAACAGGGCAGGGACCTGGAGGCGGGAGCTGATGCAGAGACCATGGAGAGGTGCTCTTACTAGCTTGCTCCCATGGCTTGTAGCCTGCTTTCTTGTTGAAACCAGGACCACCAGCCAGAGGTGGCCCCACCCACAAGGTGGTGGGCCTTCCAATATCAATAACTAATTAAGAAAATGCTCTACAGGCTGGCCCCTAGCCTGATCTTATGGAGGCATCTTCTCAGTTATACTCTCAGAGAACTATAATTTGTGTCAAGTTGACATAAATTAGCAGCACAATGGTGAAATTCATGAAACTGGCATGTCAACATTCTGGAATAATGCTGATGATTCACATCCCTGGGTGCAGGATTCATATTGAAAAAGGTTTTTCTTACCAAGAAGCTAACTGTCACCCATTAGAACTTTATCTCTATAAATGTGTTTCTAAGGACAATCAGAAACTTGGGGACCTTTTAAAGAGTGACAAGTCCCCTAAAGACATAGAAGCAGGTGGTTTTGATGTGACATTTACATGGAAAAAGAGGCTTAAACTATATTTTGTTCATTAAAGCATATTTAACCCAATGAACCCAAGACTGGGTGATATTCACACGTTTGAAAAATGACCTAGCTCTTGCCATTGGCATCTCCCTTCATGTCCTAGAGGCCTTGATGGGGAAAATGCCATCTTGGAGATTTAGCTCCTCCATTGGTACCTCCTCTGGGTTATGAGGTACTTGAGGTAAGACCAGAGTGAATGTGCTATTTGCTTGGAAAGGATATCTATATCTGAAGGAAACAATTTCTTCGAAGAAAATAACGGCAGACCACCCTCTGACAGGCAATGGTGATACAGGCACACACTAAAGAAACCCTGCTGCCTTTGAAGCTTCACACAGAGTTCTGATGGCATTTGTATTATATAGTAAGCACCCAGTCATATGGAGAATATGGTTTTTTTACCCAAATTTAAGCTTTAAGATAAGAGACAATCCACATATGTTTTCCCCCACCGTATCTAAGGTATAAGAGCTGAGAATGGCACCAGGGGCATTTATTTCTTTAAGTCTTGTGAAATGTGCAGGCTCATCACTGCTCATGTCGCTCAGAGTCTGATCTCTGGCTCCTAAAGAATATTCCAGTGGCCATGTCATACCAAAATAGATTCCTTTGCTACTTAAACTAGCCAGAGAGAGTTTCCAGGGCTGCCATTGAGAATCTTGGGCAGTAAATACACAAATTCAGTTGGGAAGAAAGAGAGTAACCAGCTTTTCTTTTCTGGATGATTTCTTAGAAGCATAATATGAACGGTATAACTCCAGCAGGAAGACAGACTCCCAGAATCTTTAATTTCCCCCCCCCCCGAACCTCAGTGGGCACTGTCTGACCACTGCAGGGGTGTGGCATCCAGGAGCAGTGTTTGGCCACTGCAGAGGCATGGTATCAGACAAGAGAATAGTCATTTTTATAAGAGTTCAAGAGACCTGGCCCAGCCTGTTAGAATTATCCCTGCTCACCTCTGACATTTCGTAGCTCTGTGACACTAAGCTGGCCAAAAATAGTCCTGAAATTGATTCCTCTTCAAGACCACAAAGAACTAGAAAGGAAGGCTGGGCAGAAGCTCAGCTGATAAAGCAGGAGGACCAGAGTTCAGTCCCTAGACCTGACATGAAAAGGCCAGCGCTGTAGCTTCTAATAACAACACTGGTCAAGAAGCGACAGGCAGATTCCTGACACGTGTTGATAAGCTACGCTCGCCTGCCTGGGGAGCTCCAGGCCAGTGAGAGACTGTCTCAAAAACAAGGTGGAGAGCCTTCGAGAAACAGGTTTCCCCTGACCTGCACATACACCTACACATGTACACCTCCACAGGAACACACATGTACACCTGAACATACAAACACACACAACATATACATACATACAAACACACACACATATATATATGCACACATACACACATACATGAATACACGCATACACATGTACATATATACATACATACATACATACACATATACAAACATACAATACAGTACAATACAATACAATGAAAAAAAAACCCAAAGGACCAGGAGAGAGAGAAAGAGGATATTATTCATTTTTGGACATCTATTAGAGCTTTACTTGTTTGCCTGTTTTGTTACCATTTTAGTAGCCATCGGTAAGTGTTCAGTTTCATGACCATTTCATGCATACAGCCTGGGGCGTTACCAGGCATTCATGCTTCCTCTCCTAACATCCTGTATCCTACATTTTGTTATTGGATTTTCTTAAATGACTCCATCAGACTTTCCTATTCATCTCCCCACCCTAACCGTACCTACTTACCCAGTGGGAGGACAAATACATCAAAAATATTATATGCTTTGGGGTCTGAGTTATCTCTTATCTCTGCCCTTTATTTCCGTGCATATTTGAGCAAGTGTTTAATCTTGCTGAGACACAAGCAACTTGGCCCAGACTGAGAAACAAAATGAGTAGAAGACAGCTGCTGGCACAGAGAAAGGGGAGTGGGTGGCAAGGGTGTACGCGAAGGGGAAAGGCTGTGAGAACTGCCAGTTACTTACGGGACTCCAATCTCAAAGATGTTGTTCTGGATCAGCTGCTTTCCCAGCATGATGATGCTCAGCTGTATGCACAGCTCCATGAGGCAGCCTCCTGGAGCACACTGCAGGAGGGAGAGCAGAGAGAGGGAGTGGTCAGGCCCTGCGGGCTCCAGAGAAGTCACTTCAGACTGATATGGGGTAAGAATGGGGGTTCTGCTGAGGAGAGCCTCAAACTGCTGGCCAGGCATGAATGCCAGATGCTCTACTTGCCTCTTCCATGCGGTAACCATCAAACACATAGACATAGCTTCCAGGTCTGCCGACAAACCTGGAAGAAAAATGTGTGCACAGAGTCAGGAGAAGATGCTGCATGCCATGGCCACAGGAGCACTCACCTACTGCGCGAAATAGCTGTCCCTCAATGTCCTCTTTGAATGAACTGGCTAGTGAGGTGCCAAATCACACAAGGACAATTCACACCCATTTTCTGCTAGCGAATACCAATAAAATATGGTTCTATTCTTAATGCAAACAGGCTTCTGTGCCTAGAGGGACAGCTGGCCAGGGGATGAGGCTGAATGTGGTCAGGGGCTAGGGTGTGTGAGAGAGAGAGAGAGAGAGAGAGAGAGAGAGAGAGAGAGAGAGAGAGATCCTTCTGAGTACCTTATCTCCTCTACTGGTGTCAAGGACTGAATTTGAATTGCAGCTCTTTGGTAAGGGCTTATGATTTGCCAGGAAGTTAAGGGCGAGTCTTACTGAAGGAACAGGTACCTTTCCTCTTCTACTGAAAATATTCAAAAGAAGGGAAGCAGCGCTCCATTCCTCTTCTGAAAATAATTATTTTACTGAGTGATGAGAAGACTGGGATGGTGGCAGAGAAAGAAGTGAGGCAAAAAGCCAATTGCAGAGCCAGGCAGGCAATCACGGGGATCCTCGTCCCTGAAAAGTGCACTCCTTGAAACTCTACTTATTCATGCACTCGATGCTGTGGAGACTTTTTTTTTCTATGAAGTATTCTTATTGTTTCTGATGATAATGTAGCCTTTCCTTTTCCCCTACCTCTCTGTTCTTTCTCTTCCCTTCCCTTCTTTGCTTTCCATGCTTTGCATGAGCTAGGTAGGTGGGGGGGGTGGGACTTCATGCCCCCCCCAACACTTTCCCTATATCTCTTATTGTGTCATTTGTCGCTGATTACAGTAAGGCTATTGCCAAGACTATCCCTAACAGTGTATCACAAACTTAAGACTCAGGACCATTCTGTTTGCAATGTCATGTGAATGCAATTTGCCTTGGCTATGAAATCTAGACAGAAACACCAGTAAGGTATATATTGATTAATTTGTACAGTATCTTTCTGTACTGTAATTTCATTGGAGCTAAAAGCACATGTCTTTGAAGGAGCTTGTGTTTTGGGGTTACAAACACATCCACAAAATAAAAATACACTTGCTTCAAGTCTGATAGGAAATTTCCTTGCATATAGCCATGTGACCTGACCTGCCACCCACACATACCCACAAGTATTTATTAGAAGCAGTTTTACATCCAAATCTTTCGTATAATAAAGAATTTTAACCAGGTGTATGTGTGCAACACTTGTTATCCTAGCACTTGGGAGGGTGAGGCCAGCAGACCATAAATTGAAGGCAAGCCTGGGCTATATAATGAGTTTGAGGATAGCCTAGGCTTCACAGTGAGGTTCTGTCTCAAGAGAAAAAAAAAATCAACATCAAAAAGAAAGCATCCTGTTCCCTTGTCACTAGTTCTTAGGAGGAGGCTCCAAATTCTTAGAATTTCCGTTATGATAGGGGCATCTTTGTTATTCATGGTGGGCTCCTGGGACTATATCGTACATGTGTGCTAGTTAGATTGTTCAGGATGAGGACAGGTGATGCCAGGGACCAACCACACAGCAGAGGCTTTGAGCTACTGAACATCAGTCTTCCCTTGGTGGGGGAAGGAGACAAAGAGTCTGAGCTCAACCTCATGGTCTAATCCCATGATTTAGTAATGTCCCTCTAAGCAAAGAGGTCTTGGGTGAGCTTGGTTAGAGACATGGATATTCCAGGCAGGTAATGAGTCCCCAGGACTTGGCCACTTCAGTGTCAGGATCCTCTGAGACATCAGTCTGGGAGCTGCTCCTGTTTGCTGTTTTGGATTTTTCTGCCTTTGACTGTAAGCCTGTGAGAAAGAGTATTGCATATGCTCAAATTCTGTGAGTTATCCTAGTGAATTATAGAATTAGAGGAGGCAGTGAGAACTCTGGGATTCATAGCCAGAGGGTCTGAATTGCAATTGTCCTGAGTGTCCCAGAGCTGTGGCTGGTGTATGAAGTCAGAGCAGTCTTGTAAAGGACAGTGCCTTTCTCTGCGGAGCCTGTAGCAACTCCACGTAGTTAGCACCAAATGGCGCTGTGCAACCGTAGAGCCTCTGGCTGGACACGTAGTCCTCTTCTGCCTCATTCTCAAAGGCATGAACTCTTCTATCATTCTCCCTTTAGCATTGTGGCTCAAATTCTTGCATAGTTTTCCATGGATATTTGGTTCTGAGGATGCAAATTCATTCCTTCATGGACAACCAGATAGGTAATAGCTCATCCCAGCTGACAATGGAGACAGAATGACCCTACTTGTCCTGATAATGGTGTACCCAGTCAGAAGTGAATTGCTTTTCCATAGGTGCTACTGTGTACTCACCTCCCCTTGAAAAAGGCCACATAGAAGATGGGGGAGTAGGCATTGACAAACTTTAGCAAGAAAGCTTTGAGGATCAAGCGTTCTTCAAAAGTCTGTTCTGTTTTCGGGACCTCTGCAAGGGAAGAACAAAGCCAATGAGAATGAGAGGAAAGAGTTTTTTGTTTTCCTTTACTTTTAAGTGTGTATGTGTGCATCTGTGAGTGCAGGTAACCTCAGAAGGCAGAAGAGGGCAGTATAGCCCTTGCAGCTGGAGTTAAAAAGGTTTGTAAACCATGTAATGTAGGTGTTAGAAACCAAACTCCAGTTCTCTGCAAGAGCAGTATGTTCTCTTAACTGGTGAGCCACCTCTCCAGCCTAGAGGTAAGAGTTTTGACCTTGACATGTGTCACTGCCTCTTAAGTTCCAGCTTTGGAGCAGAAATCAGGTGACCTGCAGCTCTGGCACATGAGAACTGGATGGCTTCATCTGGGAGACACCAAACACTTTGCTAGATAATCTCAGGTTACATAGGGTAAAGGGTACATAAGATCTTCATCTTGTTCTTTCCACTGCTCTCCTGCTGTCCTCCTAAGCTATGGAGTCATTCTGTACTCCACAAAAAAGAGTTGGGGCATGGAGAGCTTGTGGCCCCCACCCTTACTTGGTCCAGGGGAAGTCAGCCAGCCTTTATGTACTTTATAATTTTCATAAAACTGTACTCAAACAAAAGTTCCTGAACAAAAAGGACTTAGAGTTAATAGGGCATCTGAATTGGTTTCTTTCTCTCCTCCATTTTTACCAGGAAAGGACTTATTTGTAAGTTATGGGAGAGGCTGAGATGCCTCCTAATCTTTCACTCATATGATGAAAGGTCACCAAAAACTTCGAAGAGAAAAACGTGGCTGAGCTTGTGTCTCAAACCCATATGTCAGCCCCAGTGTATTCTGTCATGTCCCAGCAGAGAAATTGGTCAACATCTTTTGCAGGGCTACAGAAGATTGGACAAATCCTTTTTGGCACCCCTAGAAGACTGAAGATGCTGGGAGACTCCTGTGAGAAGTGTGTGGAGGCCCTACAGACAGTGACAAATAAATGACTTGGTGGAAGAGGGAATGGGGTATTTGCTCTTAATCCATTTGTGTTGTTGAATAAAATATCACAAACTAGTCGATTATAAAACAATCAGAAACCTATTTCTTGAAATTCTGGAATCTTGAAAGGCAAGATAAAGAGAGACTCAGTTCCCTTCCCTGACCCTCTCCTCAAATACAAGTCCTTGCATTCTTCAATGCTTAGGCTCAGTTTCCTCCCAGAAAGGCCTGGTTTCTGCTCCACAGAAGGCAGTCACTGCTGTGCTGCATATCGTAGAGGAGGTCATCATCTTCCAGGGTCTTTTTTATAAGTTCACTTATAGAGCCCCTGCTTCAAGACCTAAATCATCTTTTCTCAAACATCCCATCTCACACTGTCACCTTGGTTATTAGGATTTGTGCTGGATAGTTATGTCAACTTAACACAAGCTAAATTCGTCTGAGAGGAGGGAATCTCTGTTAAGAAAATAGGGTTGTAGGCCAGGCTCTATAGCATTTTCTTAACTAGTGATTGATGGGAAAGGGCCCAGCCCATTGTGGGTGGTGCCATATCTGGGCTGGTGATCCTGGATTCTCTGAGAAAGTAGGCTGAGAAAGACACAATGAGCAAGCCAGCAAGTAGCACTGCTCCACGGCCTCTGCATTAGCTCCTGCCTCCATGTTCCTGCCCTGCTTAACTTCCTGTCCTAACTTCCTTTGGTGATAAACAGTAATGTGGAAATGCAAGCTGAAATAAGTCCATTTGTCCTGGAGTTGCTTTTGGTCGTGCTGTTTCATGTTAGTAATAGAAGACAGGGTTTCAGCAGATAAGTCTGGAGGCAGGGGGAGGGGGGGAGGCACAAACACTAGAATAATAGCACATGTCCATACTCTTAATGGACAGGACTAACCTTGCATCATGTAAAATGGCAAGTATAAAAGTGTTCGGAGCCAAGACCACACACAGGATGCATCAGATTTGCGTATATACAGCCTGCATAGAAATAGTTGAACTGAGACCCTGCTTTGTCCTCTGGCCTGCCCTTCCCTGACCCCTCTCCTCATATACAAGTCCTTGCATTCTTCAACACTTGGGCTAAATCTTCTTCCACAAGTTTTTCCAGATGTCTTCAGTTGGCGTCATTTTTTTTTTCTGTTTTCATATATGGACTGAATGTCTTCCTTCTTAACTAGTTAATCTGTGTCCTTTAAAAATTAACAATTGTGTGGCTGTTACCAATTGGCCTTGCATACTTAACAGATTTCCAAACACCAAAAGATGGGAACAGGTATTTTGTGAGGATATGTGATGAGATGGGATGGTGAGAAAGAAAAAGGAAGGAAGATAATGTGAATAAATGTGTCCATAACAGGTTGATGTCTCTAGTGGTTTGAATGAGAATGCCTCCCCAACCCCCCACCATAGGCTCATATGTTGGAATGTTTGGTCCCTACTCAGTGAAATTGTTTGGGAAGGAATACAAAGTATGGCCTTATGGGAAGAGATGCATCACTGGCAATGGACTTTAAGGTTTCTAAAGCCCTTATCTGGCCCACCTCCCCACCCCAGCCCCTCACTGCTGCCTGTGGATTAGGATGTAAAAGTCCCAGTTACTACTCCAGCACCTTGCCTGAATGCTTCCTGCCATGATGATCATAGATAACCCTCTAAAACTGTGAGCAAGCCCCCAATTAAATGCTTTCTTTTATAGTTGCTTTGGTCATGGGGTCCCCTCACAGCAACAGGACAGTGACTAAAACAATATCATAGGCTTTGGAGGCACTGACATCTTCTATAAAACTATATGCAACCAGAAGGTGTCCAGAGACAGGTATCATAAGACATCGATGTGAATAGGAACTTGGGAAGATCACCAGGAACGTGGCTCAAATGGATACACACAAGACACACAAGAATGTCTGCTCCATTTCACTAAGGCATAGCCTCTATAGGGAAAACTAGGCTGCTAGGAAAACTCAGTAAGATAGGGGATAGCATTACTTTTTTTTTGGTTATTGATTTGTTTGTTTTTGCACATATTTGATTGCTTAGGACTTTGTTTAGGACATAATTTCACTTGGTATTTTGTTGTTTGCTTTTTGAGACATGATTTAACTTTTTAGCTCAGAGGATGGCCTGGAATTCAAGGTATAGTCTAAGATTGCCTCAAACTCAGGACCTCCCACTTCAGCCTCCTAAATACTGAACTTCTAGTCCTGTACCATCATGCCCATCTCTATCCTTCTCCTTCAGATAGGGTAATGGCAGTACTTATCTCACCTAAGAGACAGAGATGGGTATTCTGTGGGTCACACAAGTGAATTAATGACTTACACATTATATATGCACATGGTAACACACATATTTAATCCTAACACTCAGGGGCAGGGTAAGAGAAGCTCTGTGAGTTTGACATCAGCCGGGCCTACATAGTGAGCTCTAGGCCATCCAGGGCTATACAGTGAGACTCTGATTCAACAAAAAAACATAAGAGTGACAGTATGGAGAAGAACCATGAACCACAAACTGTACCTCCAGGAATCCCATTTGCATGAGGAGACCATGCCTCCTGAGTGAAATGAGATGGAAATTAGTTGGGTCCTCATCAAATTCTTTTCCTCTTCCAGGACAAACATTAGCTATAAATAAATTGTGGCCTGCTTTAGCTTCTTTTCCTATTGCTAGGATAAAATATTCTGACAAAGGGAGAAATTGTATATTTTGGCTCACAGTTCAAGGATGTACTGTCCATCACGGTGAGGAAGTAAAGGTAGCATATTGCATTTACAATCAGAAAGCGAGTAATAAATGCATGCTGCCACTCAGCTACCGTTCTTACAGTCAAATATCCTATCGAGGGAATGGTGCCACCCAGAACGGATGGCTCTTCGCATTTTAACAAACAATCAAGGTAATTCCTCACAGGCTTCTCCTGAAGCCTGTCTCCTGATTCTGTGACTCTAGAATCTATCAAGTTGACAGTTAACACTAACTGTCACCTGGGTCACATGGGATGGCAGTAGAGGTAAAGCACATCACTCCCAAGCCTTGCCTTTGACGTCATTCGCTCCTAAAGTCTTCTCCGTCTCAAGTCCCTCAACTCCCAGGAAGAAGTGAGGCATACAGAGTGTACAACAGCATCTAGAGGAGGAATTTCAGAACTCTGAATCCGCATGCCCTCCCTCCGAACATCTGGTGAAACAGCTGTGCGAGCATGGACTAAGTCACGGAGGTTTATAGCATCTCAATAGAATATGCTCCAGACACATTCAACCTGACTAACACAGGTGAGATGCAGCTACAACAGAAAGAAGTCCGGAGACATTGGTTTGCCATTGTTTACGAATGGAAGTCTCCCAAAGGCTCTTGTGCTGAAGGTGCATCCTCTGCCTTTCTGGGTCCAATCATTAAGAGGTGATTTGACCTTGAGGGCATAACACTCATCCATGGGTAATACACCAGTCAGTTCATACTGAATAGGCTGTTACGGGGTGGGCCTGGTTGGAGGAAGCCAGTGGAAGCTTGTCTTTGAAGGATGCATCCCACTCACACCTTTCTTCTCTATTTGTCTCTGTCCTGGCTGAGTCTGGATCCTCAGTTCCCATGCCAAAAAACTGAGTTTCGTGCCTTGATTCAAATAACTCTAGTATAGACAAGTGAACCAGACGAGGTTGCTGGCCAGCCAGTCTAGCAAATCAGTGAGCTTCAGAGTCAGCAAGAGACCTTATCTCAAAGTATAAGGTAGACAATAATCAGAAATATATCTGATATCCACCACCTCTGACCCCACACCCATGATCACATTATGTACGTCTATTTACACACACATACACACACACACACAGTGTTTGTGAGACAGAGACAGACACAGAAGATTGGAGAGAGGGAAAATCATGGATTTGCCCTCAGGGCTGGTGTGCTAGATAACTGAGTCCTGCTTTAAGTTGGGCATAGAGACATACATAGAGACAGTCTCTAGTGTCTGGTTGTATCCAGTGTTCGAAAGGAAAGAGAGTGAGGCGAGGCACAGAGAGTGGAGGGATAAATAGAGGAGAGAAAGGG